CGTGAGAGAAAGCTTTCTAGCTCTTCCGCTCTCTGCCACAGCTGATTGCCAGAAATTTTGTTGTGTTGGAATTCACACACACACCCATACATAAACACATTTTACAACAAGTGCGAAAATGTTTGCTGCTGTTTGCTCTGTTTTGCGCCATTTGAACTTGTCTTCAGATAAGTAGGTCTAGGGTACAGAGTGTGACCGAATTTCGCTATTCTTTTTTTAGTTTGACCTTGGGAGTTTTCGAATTTATTTCAATTTGTGGCAACTTAAAATAAACACGCAAAATGACACATTTTGATGAACCTTGTTAGCATAAAAACTTGAAGCAGCAAACAGCAATTGTAAAGTTATTTACCTTGAAAAAGTCGAGAAACGTAGAAACCTGACTGTCATGTAGTTACCTCCTCATCAGTTACTTTTTGGGAAGAAGATCTTTTGTATATAATATATTCATCAATTAAATACATATACACAAATGTATTTACTTTAAGGCCATTTTTTCATTATAACCATAATACTTGTCAAAAAGTCTCTCAATTTTAAACAGACAATACTCACTCGTACGCAAAATATTCGAATACCGACCTTAACACGAATAAAAACAGAGACAGCCACCCACAACAAGTGGGATCGAATCTTTGACTTTGAAATTTCAGTCACGGTCTGAAGTGGAAACCTCAGCAGCTGGTTTATTGCCTTTAACTAATAATATAAAAGCCAGTCAAGTGAAGGTGCGTGTATGGCTGCCATCCCGTGTGGCAGTGTGCGTGTAAAGTTGATACGAACTTGGTTTCCACAAAGAAAACTCAACTGGGTGGTGTGGGTGGCGCTGTGCCCCATAAAAATAGACTATCAATGGTGTTTTTGGGATAACATTCGAGCCAAATGAAGGATTGTGAAAACCTTTTAGCAGTAATCCACTGAATACAGTGGTATTTGTGGCTTTTACAAGTTTGCAAATAAGCATCTTTATTATAATTTCCTAAAAAAAATGGTCCTAAAGGAGGAGAAAACCTTTTAAGTTTTTCTTTTCAGTTTTAAAAGTTTGAAGTTAAAAAGTTTTCTTTGAGTGCAATAATGTATTATTTAGTGATGTTTTTTCTTTTTGCAGTGCACTTGCAGCTCCCGAAACGCAGTAACGGTTGCTAACGGTAACGGCTCTCCACTCAACACAAAAAAAAAGACAGCAGAGACAGGAGAGAGAGGAGGCGAAGCAACAGCGACGGGGAGTGTGGGCGAACCTTACACGCAAGTGAGTAAATAACGGTAACTGGCAGCCATTTGGGCGGCATTATCAATTATGCAATTAAAAGGGGTGGGAACTGTCCAAACCAAGTCGGGAGTCGGGAAAACTTTTGCCCTCGGCCAAGCCAAATGCCAAGGCTGAAGCCCGGTGGCTTTAAATAGTTTACAAACTGCGGCTAGAAAGTTAATTTCGATGTGAGGGAATTTATACTTAACCTTTCGAGTGAATGTTGAGGAGTGGGGTCCTTAATAATTTATTCCTGATTTGCTGTGTTTGTGTTTCCGTTTTTCTCATTACACTTTTCATTTCCGTTTTGGCCGAAACGAGCCAGTTTCGACGTATACGTAATATGCCAAAGGACTCTGCCGCAAATCCCGCCAACTGTTGCAAAAGTTGCCACCAAGTTCCCCCAGCATGTGTGAGTTCTTGTGTACACCAGTACGTATACCATATACAGTATACTGTATATGGAAATTTGTGTGCCTGGTCCCTTAACAACGGTTTGTCCTTAGGTTGTCGAAAAACAAGTCAGCCATGAGGTTGCTCACTTCATCGGCAGGCCCTGGGCAACTTGACCCCTAACCCTTCCTTGGGTTGTCTCTCAGGTGGCCAAGGCGGCCAGCCCTTGCCTTGTCGGCGAGTCAAGGACGCCCGCCAGCCCCTACAAATGGCATGCCTGATTTCACCAATTGATTGCATGCAATTGTTTCCCTCCTGGCCAACTTTCACCTGTCTGCCTGGGAGTGGGCGGGCGGTTGGTAGGCCCCTGGAAATGCTTAAAAATTATTCAAGAGCACACTGCCAGAGTTGTTGGCGGCGATGCCCCCTTGGAAATATCACTCGCATTTAGCTCCTGACAGCTCCGGACCCACTTCAACTGTTGCACGTGCCATGCATATTTCATGCCACTCATGTCAAATATTTATACCCTTACCGTGCAATCGAATAAGCTCATTACCGACGAAGTGGTTGCATCGATCAACCCACTAATTAAAAACTTTACCCATAAACTGCTCGGCGGAAGAGTAAACAATTCCCCGAAAGGATATTAGCAAGTTGGCTCTCTGCAGTTGGCATAATGTTTATGGTTTTTATTTCCCCCTTTTTGTGCTCGGTCTGTGCAAATACCGAAATGAGAATTTGCGGTTGCCACTTTGTATTCCGTTGCATGAGCCTGAATGCCACTGAAATGCCATTCCATTGAAAGACCACTTGGCTGAAATATGAAATTAATTAAGTTCCCGTAAACAAATGAGAATAAAGCGCGATATTTGCATAGCATGAGTATATTAGCCAGACTGGCATTGAAATCATCGAGTGCGTGCTTTCACGCAGCGTGGGATAATAAAATGTTGTGGCTGTAACCCAATTATTCTCACACAGAGCTCTGCGGCCAATTAAGCCAATAATTAATTTGATAGACTCATGATTGGCGCCAATTGTCGGCAAACAAACTGAGTCCAGTTCAAGCCGGGACTGGTCCAACCTGGTCACGTCCTAACAAATTGGGGCCATCGCAAATGGAAGCCATCTCTCAGGTCTTTCCGCTTCCTGTGCATTTCCTGCACAAATGCAACTCATTTCCTGTGTGTCCTGTCAGAATCCGCAGCTTAACTTTTTATGTCCTCCAGCTGACGCAGCTAAGTATGCAACTCCAAGAGGCTTAAATGCCACTGGCAGAAAATGGTTCAACTCTATTGTTCGTTTAGCATTTATTGTGCATATCATTCGTGCAAATAAATAATCTTATCAATTATACTATTAAAGACGCAATCTTGATTCAGTTCCGCAAAACTATACATTAAGATACCCCATGAATAAACCCTCTGGCATGTTTAAGAAAAATATTAACCTTATTGGAACAAATCCCTTTCTGGTTTTACCTCAATATTCCATCTTTTATACTCATATTTGTATATATCGTTAAGCCCTAAACGTGTCTGTTTGCGGCATAAAAGTGGTTCAGCCGACCAGCTATTGGGTGACTGACAAATTCTTATAGCCAGAGTCTTCATTAAAAAATACTAAATGTATTTAAAATTTGTAACGACTATAATTACCCTGTGACTGTGTGTGATAGGTAGATTTCCATTTGTGAGTAATAGGATCATAAATATAAATGTATTCGATACCGCTCCTTTTGCTTTTCAGCTAGCTTTATCGTAATATTTTATATTTCTTATATGTATGTATTACATATTTGTGAAAAAAGGAGAATGGAAGAATAAGTCATGGTATGATAAGTACCGGAACAAGTACCTGGTATGATATAGATTCGAATTCGAATTAGTAAGTAAATTTCGATTTTGATTTTATAAAAAAATAAAATTGTCTTATTGGGTGAATGAGTCCTTATTTACTCTCTTACTCTTCTTTACTGAGTAATACTGTTTTGACAATTATTGGCATAAAAATTCACCTTGGGCACGTATTTCGCTGAAGCAAGAAAATTAATCAATTGAAATATATTTCCACAGAAAAAACAATATCCTGACATAAGGTTAGTCTAGTTTCGTCTAGTGTAGTCACTAGTGACCAGCCTCAAACAAATCTGACCTTGCTCTTCTCGGCCAACGCTGCGTATGAGTGCTTTGTCGAGCTTGCTTGTTGCTTTCATTATCAATGTCAATGTGCCCGAACCGGGGACGCTCTCAGGAACCCCATCGCAGTCTACCTCAGAGATGCTTTAGAACACTAGTGTCGGCGCTCTCAATCGGACTTTATCTCCGATTGTGTTCTAGTCTAGCGTTCACCCTGAGTCAGGTTATTGGGGCATAGCCGAAGAAATGAGAAATTGCATTAAATGGGAAGAAATGGAGGTCGCGAAGGCGTCTACTTTGTTGCGATATTGCGATGAGCCAATAACACAAAATTGATTTCCTTTCGGGTTTTGTTTACTTTGTTATTTGTTCACCGCTCCGACCACTTTCACGCTCTCAGCCTTATCATTGTTTGTATATTTTTATATATTTTGCATCGCAGATGAAAATGTTTTCATTTCACTTAGGCAATTATTTGCATTCGCATTCGTTATTTGCAGTTCGAGCTGAGCGCGCGCCTTGTGTTTTTCTGTTATTTTTAGCGCCAAATTGTGATAAATTTTCTCGCCTTTTTATTTGGTTATTAATTGGTTGAAAATTGAAAATGCGTCTAAGTCGGGTTCGCAGTTTCCAAGGCATTTTGTAAGTCAAAAGCAAACTTTTCGCGATCTGAGAGGGGGTCTTCACAATACTTATTTTCTTTTTTTCAAGTGTTTATTTATGTTAATATTGGAAAGATAAGATTTTAGAAGTTGGAAATAATACCTGAGATCTAAAATAATTCTTTGGGTTTATTTAAAAGTACTTTGTTTCTGTTTATTGCTGAAAATGCAGTTGTGTAACTTGTTTGCATCTTTTGTTTTACATATTATTCATACTTATTTTAAAAACACCTAAAGGTACCTCATAGTTCTATTTTATTGTTTGAAATTTGAATCTTAATATTTATGCTTATCAACAAACTAAAGTTTTGTAGGCCAGCTATGATGCTATTTTTTGTAATTTATGAACTATACCATTATATAAAATATTAATTTAAAATTTAAATCAAAAAGCAATTACCTTAGTTAGTAGGCGCATTTTCAATAAAAAATCTCAATAATCAGATCGTGAAAACTATGCTCACTTTCATATCTCAAGTGGTGTACCATACGTCTACCAAAACTATCTTGTGTGCCATTTCCATTTCGATTTCTTGTCCATTAACAACCAAGCAGCGTCTGTAGGATGAGCAATGCGGGAACCGACGGAGGAGGAGGAGGCGGCGGAGGAACAGGAGCCGGAGTACCGCCCACAACGCCACCGCCCACTGGTCATGGATCCACTCGCCGACTGAGCCACCTATCCGGCAGCACTCGATCGGGAGGAGCCGCCGCCATGGGCAACGTGGTGGGCTGGCTGAAGCAGGTTCTGTCCAAACACAGTATTGATGTGAATTATCCACCCAGCACAAAAACAAAGTGTATTACAAAAACCCTAGAAACACCTGCACCCCCACCTTCTATATGTTTTTGTGATTTTGTGTTGCATCTCCCCGCCTGAATCTTCAGTTGCCCCTGGTTGTCCCCTGGATGTGGTTGTGCCGGAAATTGAAAAGACTCTTATTGGACGTTTTGTGTGTCTACTTTTAGGCTTCCATCGAAGTGCGTGACGCAGGCACCAGGACCCTGTCGATGCTGCAGAGCAGCAACCCCAACTTCCGGTCTCTGGACTTGTCCCTGGGCACGCCCACTTCCCTAACGCCCACCTCGAGCGACGCTCCCGTGACCACGGCCAGTGCCACCGCTTCCTTGAGCGGATCCACGTTGCAATTCGGTCCGGACGAAGTCGAGGACTCTAAGGGCAGTCAGTCTCTGACACCGCTGGACGCCCGTGAACTACTGACCCGGCCAACGCGAGCATACGCCTCCGTCAGCCAGCCACAAAGTCCGCGGCATCGCGGATCCGGTTCTGGTTCCCTATCCGGTATCGGCTTGAGAGGCACCACCCACGGCCTGACCGGACGCTCCACATCGATATCCTCGCAGCTGGAGAAGACCAAGAAGCTGCTGAAAATGACAGAGGGCGAGGACAAGCCCCTGACCATTCTGCACTATAACGATGTCTACAACATCGAGTCCATGGCGGAGACGGAGCCCGTTGGCGGAGCGGCAAGGTTCGCCACCGCCATCAAGAGCTACGCCCACCTGAATCCTCTGGTGCTCTTCAGCGGAGACGCCTTCTCGCCCAGCATGTGTGAGTATCCTAGGATGGGAGATGATAGAGAATGGCTATCCTTTCCTTATTTGCAGTGAGCACCTTCACCCAGGGCGAACAGATGATTCCAGTCCTCAACTCGGTGGGCACGCACTGCGCCGTCTTTGGAAACCACGATTTTGGTAAGTTAAGGATTAAGCTTTAATCTATGGACTTGGCATTATCCGGATAATTCTAGATCATGGTCTGGATGTGCTGGTTAAACTCATCAAACAGACAGAGTTCCCCTGGCTCATGTCCAACGTGGTGGACAACGAAACTGGACGTCCTCTGGGTGGCGGCAAAATCTCCCACTTCATCCTCCACAACCAGATCTCCATCGGTCTGATCGGGCTGGTGGAGCGCGAGTGGCTGGAAACGTTGCCCACCATCGACCCCAACGAGGTGACCTACATCGACTACGTGGAGGCGGGCAATCGGCTGGCCCGAGAGCTAAGGAACGAGGGCTGCGACCTGATCATAGCCCTCACCCACATGCGCACTCCCAACGACATAAATCTGGCCAAGAAGTGCATCGGCATCGACATCATCCTTGGTGGACACGACCATGTCCGGGAGGTAACCGAGATCAATGGCAAGATGATCGTGAAGTCGGGCACGGACTTCCAACAGTTCTCTGTGATCACCATGGAAAGGGACCCCGCCAACCGGGAGAAGTTCACCACGGACGTCAAGTGCGTGGATGTGACGGCCAAGATTCCCGAAGATCCGGACCTCAAACAGGAGCTGTCAAAATATGCCAGTGAGTGCCAGTACAGCTGGAAGCCAGAGTATTCATTATTATACTTTAATCCTTGGTTGCAGAGTTCATCGAAAGTAAGCTGTCGGATGTGATGGGAGTCTTCAGTGTGGAGCTGGACGGACGCTTCTCGCGGGTTCGCACCCAGGAAACGAATCTGGGCAACTGGGTGTGCGACGTGGTGCTGGCTGCCGTTGGCGCCGATGTGGTCATCCTGAATGGCGGCACCTTCCGGTCGGATCGCGTCCATCCAGTGGGAGCCTTTACCATGGGCGATCTGGTCAACGTTATTCCCATGCGGGATCCCCTGATCCTGCTCGAGGTGAGCGGCCGAGTCCTGTGGCAGGCGCTGGAGAATGGCGTGTCAGCGTATCCCAAGCTGGAGGGTCGCTTCCCCCAGGTGGCTGGTATCAGTTTCGCGTTCGATCCGCAGGCGGATCCTGGAAAGCGCATAGATCCGCAGTTGATCCAGGTGGGCGACGAGTACCTCAACCTGGACCAGACCTACAAGCTGTGCGTCAAGAGCTACATCTTCATGGGCTGCGATGGATACACCATGTTCAAGGATGCCACTGTGCTGGTAAGACTTACCTTTTCGCTGACAATTCTGTAGAATTACAAAGTAAACCCAATAATTTCCAGATGGATGACGATGCCTGTCCTGAGCTGGGCATCACGCTGCAGAATCACTTCAAGGCCATTAACTCCCGGAAGTGTGGCCAAAACACCAAGCATCGTCAGTCCTTGGTGACCCTGTCCCGGAGGCACAGTCTGGTGCAGTGCCTGGACAGCATGGATCTGGACGGACCTTCGCCCATTCGCAAGCTGTCGGTGGGTCATCACAACAAGTCCATGGATCTGACGCATGGCAATTCCCAAAAGGTAAGATTCCCATTGAAGGATTACATTGGGAAACAGTGTCATATTAATCCATTCTCAGATGCTTCGACGCGCCTCCCTGGACGACCTGGAGCAGTCCACCTGCGAATTGGCGCCCCAACTGGAGCACCGCATCATTATGATCCAAAACGAAGAGGTAGGTGGGCTGCATCTTTGGTCTAAACACGTAACACTCCATTCGCTATCCTCCCTGCAGCACCATCGCCAGTTGCTGTTCAAGAAGGAGACGCACATCATGAACTCCACAATCACCGAGGCGGAGGACGAGTAAAGACCTTATTGAAGACATTCGAGTCACGATTTGCATTTAATTTCCGTATTTTTCGTTTGTTTTTTCCTTTTCGTTTTCTAGTTACAAGAGAGTAAGACAACTTGATTGTAGGGCGGCAGGGTCCGATGAGGAGAGGAAGATTTGATCATGTCTTGAGCGACGTGAAGATATAGCAGTTAGATAGTTAGGTAGTTGCTCTATTTATTGCCGTTGTTGTTAGCCCTTTTTGTTCTGTTTGGCCATAAGTTTTGAACTCGCTATTCGGATATTGTAAGTACCGTAAGTGTATGTGTAGTGAGGACGTGTACCTAAGCCTACCACTAGTTTAATTTACCTTTAATTAGATAAATGATTTACACCGCCAACTGATTATAGTAATTACTGAATCGCCCATATGTTTTGTGATCTAGATAAACGAGTTTGAGCCGAGCTTTGAGGTTCCTTAGATACTTCGATCGAATAGCCGATTTTAATTACCCGAGTCCAGAGTTAGCCTAAGACCGCAGTCCAGCACTAAAGGTTGTACGGATAGGGACGCAACTGGGCCTCACTCAGCAAATGTAAAGTGAATGTAAAGCAATATTTTAGAGAATGCACCTGCAAAAGTTAAATCCCTGCCAAAGTGCGGGAGAACATGTATATTTTTATGGACACTTTTGGAGCGCTTGAACCACAGCAGAGCAGACATTATTTTTAGAGAAGAACCACTCATGGATACAATGGCTTTAATTCATAGAGTTCCTCGAACTTGAACCTCGTACCACACCCAGTACAGCCAGCACGCGAGCCGGAGGGAACGTGTTTGTCCAGTGAAGCAATCTGATTGATGACTGGAAGGCGGAAGCCAGGCAGAAGCCACCCATCTCAATTAAACAAAAGTTAAACAATAAGTAGAGGAAGCCTACCTATGTGTACTCCATGCTTAGACCGATTGTCCATGCTTAGAACGTATAGTTAACTAAAGTGAACAATATACAGGCTCAACTTGCACCTGATTATTAACAGAAACACACTAAAATTATAGAGGACACATGCGTATAAATATAGACACAAATATATATATAGATATCGTACATCTTTTCAATCTTCTCTCACAAGAACGCTTGCCAACTACGAAGACAAGAACTTCTAAACTTTCGTCTTTCAAACTATTTTGCAATGGAAAAAACGCATTTGTGTATATTGAACGAAGTACATTGTTTTATGTAAACATTTATTAAAATACATAAACTATATGTAACGGGACATTTAAGAATTGTTTCTTTCGGCGGAAGCACTGTGTTAGTCAGACGGGGGCACTAAGTCGGTTGGTTAATACTTTAATGAGGGAGTCAAGGGGTAAGCTTCTAGATTGTTTGTCCTCTTCAGTAGAACTGCAACACCAAGGTCTTTATGGCACTGGCGATGTGGAAGGCGCAGTCGCGCACCTCCAAGGTGTTTTTCTGGATGGCCTGCTTGTCGTCCGCCTCGATGGCCTTCTGCAAGCTCTCGCACTCGTGCTGGATCATTATGTTTTGGCGGGTGAGCTGCTTCAGGGTTTCTCGTGTGGTCTCGCTAGCATTGGGGGGCTACAAATAGTAAAGGACATTATAGTTAATTTAATTCTAAAGAACCTTTAACAATGAGGTATCAATTCCACTAATCTTACCAAGTTGGCATAGAGAGCAATTAAGTCAGTTACGGCGCTGCGTATGAGTTCGCCATGTGGAGCAATCGATTGCTTCTGATCCTCTGGCACTGGCTGCATGGCCCGAATGAGTTCCTTGAGGCAGCGAGTGACCAAGTCGGATCGCACCTTCACCTCCTCTCCGAAGGGCTTGCCATCGCCCGCCATTTGGTACATGCTCGTGGTGTTCCGGACATCTGTCTGGCCCTTGGCCACGACTGGTGCCAGCCTGCGTTCGTACATGCTGGCTGGCCGTTTGATAGTCGACTGGTTGGACGAGCCATTGGATGAGCCGCTCTCCTTGTTGGTAGTGCCACCTTCGGGTAGCGATAGGGGCTCGTGCTCAGTTTCCGGACTGCTCAAGCTCAGATCAATGCGACTAAATAACAAAATAATAAGATAAATAAAAATAAAAGTAACTAAAGTGTAAAGGAAAGTCTCACAGTGGCTCATCGTAGACGCTGTTGTTGGAGGCGCTGGAGAACTTGGACTTGAGCAGGGAGTTCTCGCTGGACAGCTTTTGGACCACGTTCTTCAGTTGGCTTATCTCGGACTGAGCTGAGCTGAGTTGTTTCCGCAGTGTTTCCATTTCATTCTGCGAGTTGGCACTGCGAGGTGGCGTGTGCACAACAGCCTATTTGAACAACATAAAAATAATGAAATTAAATTAAAAAACTAAAATGAAACAATACAAATCAACTAATTTAACATATACAAGAAAAGTATAGAAGGGACTCCACAAAACTACATTTAGTTAAACTACAATGTGACAGATAGTGGCTAACTTTATTTTAGCTTATAGTCTACATTTGGATCTCTACCATCTGAGGGTACATTGACTAAAAACAGGGACTATAGTGCCCTGGACTAAGGATGAACACAACGGGTAACTCATTCAGTCTTCGCTTACGCTGCTAGCCAAAGCTATTGTTCAGCTTGAGAATCTTTTGGCGCATAAGGTTTACCTGCTGGGCCATTGGCGGCACTGGTGCATAGTCATCATCGCTGGCCACCGGGTCGTAGATGGGTTCATCGTCCGACAGATTCGGATCGTGGCCGCCCTGCTCGAACAGCGAATTGTTTACGTATGGTAGCGATTGCAGCGAAGGCAGTTGATTGCCGCCCGCCAGCGGGGCGTCCAGTGGACGCAAGTTGGCCATGTTCTGACGCCGCATGGCATCCACAAGCACGTCGGTCAGCAGACCGGCAAACTCGGCGCGATTGAAGCGTGCCAGTTTCTGGCGGCCCTGCAAAACGAAACGATGTCAATAAATGAGGGTTTGGCGTTTACTCATTCAAAAATTGTCACAATGCCAACCTGATTGCGCGTTGCGCTCAAAAAGGGGTTAGCCGGAAGAAATGGCACAGTTGCATGATCAGCATTCAAGGTGCTCGTTGACCAGACTGCAAAGAATTAAACATTAGCTTATTATGAATAATAACAGCAGTTGCTGGAGTGCTTACTGGCTTCGCACTCTCGTCGGTCAACTTCGTCGTACAGATCCATTACCAGCTCCTCGAACATCTTGTTTGGAACAAGTTGCAACTTTCCACGAGCTATTTTCAGCTGTTCACTGATGTCGGCTCCACTGGCATCTGGTATGGTCAAGTGGCGGCCACTCTGAAAATAAAAAAACAAATTTAGAGGAAAATCATGAAAACAAATCACAGCAAGAAGCTGCATCTTATAGATACAAAAATGGCTCCCACTCCCCGGGGAGCTTCCGATGGCTTAAATTTAGAACTTACTGCATGGTCTGGCTTCTTGCCGCCCAAGAACATAATGATTCTGTCCGTGACATCATACATGGCATCCAGCAGACGCTCCGCTATGGTATTATGGTTGTTGGCCCTGGCCAACTCCAAGGGAGTCATGCCATTGCCATCCAAGGCGTTCACATCGGCCCCATAGATCAGCAGCATCTCGATCTGCGAGGCCTGGCCAAACTTGGCGGCCATGTGCAGTGGCGTCGACAGCTTGTCCTCGTGGTAATAGTTGGGATCGGCGCCCTGCACCACGAGGCGCAACGATGTCTCCAGATTGCTTGTACGCACGCTGGCATGGAGCTGCCTGCTCAGCTCCTGCTCCAGATTGCCACCATTACCACCGGCATCGTCGTCGTCCTGAAGACTGGGCTTCAAGACGAACGATAGATTGACGTGCTTGGCCTTGATGAAGTCCGACTTGGTGGGGTGCAGGGCATCTTTGGGAGAGGGCTTGCGCCAGCGGGGCAAGTGCTTTCCGCCCGATGAGTTGGAGCTGCCGTCCAGAAGATGATGTTCCCACACGCTATTTGCACCATGGGCGTTCAGGGAGTTGACAAAATTCAACACAGACGGTTCCCAGTTACCCTGGCGTAGGGACTTCACTATGGAGATGTGCCTTCCCAGGCTGCGGTGAACGGAGCAGCAGTCGGCGCAGAGAAGGATGCCTCGGTTGATGCTGGCCCAAGAGGGATCACTGGCCCCGCAATCCCCGCACACCTCCGTCTGGAGTCGCGACTTGCCCCTCGACATCTTGCTCCCACGAGTCGATTGCGTGGGCGGGGTCGTCGCGTTCTGATTTGAATGCTCCGGCGGCGCTATAAATAACTTCTTATGCGCTTCGATTATGCTGCTGGCGAAACACATTCAGCATTCCCGTCTGTGGTACCTGGGCGATAAAAAAAAAAAAATGGAATAAAGTAATTGCACGGGAGGTCGGAGCTAAATCCGTGTGAGTCAGTCGCGCAATCAGTTGCTACTGATTGGGAATAGACATATCGCAGGGTGGGGTGTTCCACGACCTGTTCCACCCTTGCAATCAATTATGTGAATTACTTTTAATTAAACGCTGCTGACTGCACTGCTAAACATTTTTTCTTTCGCTTTGTTTACAAGGTGTGACCATAGGACTTACGAGACAATTGGTCATACTAAGGGGTGGAAGTAATATGAGCAAAATATAAATAGTTTTCTAATATTTATTTCTACCATTAAAAAAACATAAACTATATAGTCCAAAAACTGTTATCAGAAAATCATGTCTGAATTTTTAAAAATATTTATACCTACAAAGTAATTAATCAAAAATTAAGCACCTCATTTACTGTACTTCCAGTAAGTGACCAAAATTCAAAAATTAAAAAAATTAAAAAATCATAGTTTTTTTTGAAGATTCAGAAAATTAAAAACAAAGTATCTTAACCATCAAGTGTTGCCAGAAATCGTACTCTATTTTTCAACCCTGTGGCAACTCTGTGCTTGCAGTCATATGTTTATCAACAGAGAGCAGCTGTTGAAAGCACACGTGCAAAACAATAACAAATAGAGTGCCGACTTCCAATTGGGTGTTTTTTTGTTTTTAATAAATTAAAGAATCTGTTAAAGTAATAGCATGAAAGTTGCCAACCTTTACACGTCGGTGGCCTGCAATCGCTGCATGGAATGTGCTGATTGGGGTCCAAGCGGCTTGATTGCTTATGGAGCCTGCAATGCTGTCGCTGTAATGAATCCAAAGGTAAGAATAATGTTTCTTAAGACATCCTCTATCATGTTTTTATTTTAGTACACGGGTAATTCGGCCAAGATAATTTACACTCTGGTGGAGCACACAAAACGAGTAAACACTGTCAAGTGGCTGGATACAAAGAAACTGCTCTCGGGTGCCGATGATTCAAATGCCATTTTATGGGAGCTGGATGAAACGGGGGCCACAAAGCAGATCCTATTAAAAGGACACAAGAGTGGAGTCAATGCAGTGGATGGTGTGCTAAGGAAGAATGGGTCCTGGCTACTGGCCACCGCGGCTGCCGATAACACCGTGAAGTTGTGGAACTACCAGGACGACACTGCCACCTGTTTCCAAACCATAGAACTAGCTGGAGGATTTTGCTTCTCCCTGCGACTCACACTTCTGCCCAACAGTGAAAATGTTTTGATGGCCTTCAGTGGCGACGATGAGACCATCTCATTGTGGGGAGAAAAGGCGCAAATCCTGGGAGGCGGGGATTCCCTAAGTCAGCAATTCCAGCAAGTACATAAACTTTCGGGCCACGAAGACTGGGTGAGGGGCCTCGACTTTGTGAAGGATGGCGAGGATCTTCTTCTGGCCAGTGGCTCGCAGGACAATTTTATACGTCTCTGGAGGATTGCGCCGCGCAGCGAAGACCAAATGAAAGAAAATCACGTCGATCTTCTTCAGATAAGCAAGATCGAGGATGACATTAAGGTGGAGGAGAAGATCCTACAGTTGGGGGAGCAGGCTTGGTTTGCAGTGAGCTTGGAGTCGGTTCTATATGGCCATGAAGGTTGGGTATACGGCGTTCACTGGCATAAAAACAAGGAGCAGGGTAAGTTATTGAGATATTACTTCTTATTTCTTCTAGTTAACTTTATTATTCTTACATTATCATTATTAGAGCTTCGTCTACTTTCTGCCTCCATTGACAAGACCCTGGTTGTGTGGGCCCAGACCGCGCAAGGAGTTTGGATGGAGAACGTGCGTGTCGGTGAGGTGGGCGGCAACTCCATGGGCTTCTTTGGCGGCAAGTTCTCTGCCGGTGGACATTCCATAATGGCCCATAGCTATCAGGGCGGCTTTCACATTTGGAATCAAGATCGCGAACGCCCACAGCTCTGGACGTCCAATGTCATAGTTGGCGGCCACTATGGCGAAGCTAGGGATCTGGCCTGGGAGCACGAAGGCGCCTATCTCATGACTGTCTCAGCGGATCAGACCACTCGTTTGCATGCTCCTTGGCTGCAAGATGCTGTCCAGGATTCCACATGGCATGAACTGGCGCGCCCGCAAGTCCATGGCTACGACATGCAAGCCTTGGCTCTGCTTTCTCGCTATAAATTCGCCAGCGGGGCGGAGGAGAAGATTGTACGAACTTTCCAGGCAACAGCGAACTTCATAGAGAACTTCCGTCATATCAGCAAAGTGGAGAATGATGTGGCGGGTGATGCCTTATTGGAGTGTAAGATATCTTTTGTTATAAATATTTGTCCCTTATAATCTAATGATTTTCTTTATTTTTAGCTCTGCCGAAAGGCGCTTCTGTGCCTTCCCTGGGACTGTCAAACAAAGCTGTTTACAAAGAGGAATCGCGCAGTGAGGAGTCTGGGAAGGCAAAAGATGACTATCCGGAAAACTACTTTGTTCCAATTACACTGGAAACTCCGCCGCAAGAGGAGACCTTGATGCAGAACACTTTGTGGCCGGAGCTGCAAAAGCTCTACGGGCATGGCTATGAAATCTTTGCCTTGGCAGCCACTAGAGATGGTTCCGTATTGGCCTCCTCCTGCAAGGCCAGCAACGCTGAGCATGCCCAAATAATACTCTGGTGAGGATAAAGAATGCTCTTAAACGGTAAAAAGCTAATAATAGTCTTTGCTTCTGCAGGAATCCTACCAATTGGAAGCAATTGCAAAAACTAAGTGGCCACCAGTTGACTGTTACCCAGATGAGTTTCTCTCCGGATGCTCGTTTCTTGCTGTCTGTTTCCAGAGATCGGCGTTGGTGTCTATACGAGAAGAAGGACGCTACTGTTGGCTACCAACTGGTGGCTAGCACGGACAAGACAAATGGAGTGCACACGCGCATCATTTGGTCCTGCGACTGGTCGCACGATGGCCAGCACTTTGTGACCAGTTCGCGGGATGGCAAGGTAGTGGTCTGGAAAAAGAGCGAGGAGGCAAAGGACTCATCTTCACTGAACGGCTGGCAGTCGGCGGGAGTTTTGGAGCTGAAAAATGAGTCAATCACAGCGGTGGCTTTTTCCAGAGATTACTTGAAGGGTACGGATGACACATACGTTATCGCTCTGGGCACGGAAAGTGGGCTCATCAAACTGTATCAGTTGGCGAGAGGAGAGTGGAAGGTGCTCAGCGAACTGAACAAGAGGTGGGTTTTTGTGTGTTTTGGAAGTTCCCAGCCTAAGATATCTTTCTTCAACAGCCAAGCCCACCATCTCACTGTTCGAAGGCTACAGTTTCGGCCTGGACAGCGCCGACTCCAGCTGGCAAGCTGTGGAGAGGATCATTTGGTGCGCATCTACGACATCGAGGAGACATGATTTTGACCATAATTCGAATAAAGTAGCCTTATTAACCCCAAACGTCTGAGTTTAATTATAAATCTGTAATATCGGCAGACAGCTTGGAAAGGGGATGGGTCCCGGCTCGACTGTTCTATCTGAAATATTGCTATCTAATCTGGGGCAATTACCCATGTTCTGGGTTTCCCGCGCCTCAAGTCTGCTTCTGTTTGCGATAACAAGTTATTGGCTCCTAATTAGGTGCGAATAATTCTCGACGAAGGAAACTTTGATTCCGGGTATTTAAGTCGGATCTCTCTAGTGGTTGGCATTCAGTATTCTGTAAGCGTTTCGAGATGAAGGCAGCTATTGTTTTGGCACTGATTAGCTCGGTTTTGGCCGCTCCGCCGGTTCGAGTGCAGCCCAGGCCAGGGTACGCAGCAAATGTTGACCAGTACGCTCACATTTTTGCCCAAGTTCGTCCGTCCGGGAATCACAAGGTGGAAGTGGAAGTGAAACCTGAGGAGTACCAGCCTCTAGCTAACTCTGCCAGCCATCTGGTGGAACTGGAAGTCCGGCCCGTGGACCAGAAGCCCCCTCAGTTGTTGGAGATTGAGATTAAGCAGGAACACCAGCCGCAGCACCAGAATCCCGCCCAAGGACATTTTGTGGAACTGGAGTTCCAACAGCAGTCCCCGCAGACGGAGGTGAAGTCTCCCAACCACTTGGTTGAGCTGGAAATCAAGCCTGTGGAGCCGAAGCCCACCCACTTGGAGATCGAGATTAAGCAGCAGCCGCAGCAGGAGAAGGAGCACCACCACCAGGATCAAAACCTTGCCCAAGGACACCTGGTGCCACTGAAATCGCACGTGCCTAAGGTGGAATTCGAGGCAGCCCATGATATGAGGCCCATGTCTTAACACTTCAGCAGCAGCACTACAATAGCAGTGGAAAACTGAAAAATGTAATACAAAAGTGCATTAAATATGTATAATTACAAAGAGAGCTTTTCACTGGCGGGTCCTCCCAAGGTGCTTGTAAAATGCGAAATAAATAAAAACTCCGGGCTTTGGAGGGGTTAGCCGCGGGAGAGCCGCAGTTTGCAATTTCCGTTTAGCTGCATAGTTACAGTTTTTTTGGAGGGGGCCACGTGACCAGGAGTCGAGAGCAAGGCCCAAGGAGGAGGAAGGAGCTGGAGCAAGGAGCTGAATTATGGCCAGAGCGTGCCACCTTTTCAACCGCAACTTGCAATTTCCGTGCGCCAACTGACTTTATGATTGCCATTGGCTTCTGGCTGCACAGCTTTTAGCTTCCAGCTTCAGTTTCAGCTCCAACGCCATTGTTGTCCAAAATTATAAGGGGGAGGAGGAGGCAGCAGGATCAGGGCAGGAACAGGAGCAGGAGCCAGAGCACGGTGTGGAGTAAATCTGGCAATGCGGTTAATTGGCTGGCGGCCATCTTTCTCTGGCGCTTTAATTATGTTTTCGTGCTGTCCACAACTGCACTTCTAGGGCCTCTATCTCGACATCTATTTCTATATCCTCGGAGTCCTGCTGTGTCGTTGAACCAAGGATACTCCCCGGATAGATAAGCGCATAAATCTGCATTGTTCCGAGTGGCACAATGGGGCAGAAAGTTAACTATTGAATTGCATTTAGGCCACGTCGGAGGTCGATTGTTCTCGCACCTATTCAGAGCCACCCGATATCCCGATGGGACTCGTCCGGGGGGCCGTTCACCATCCCGACTCTTCACTGTACTGAGCTGATGGCAAAAGCGAGTTAAAAATTCGCGATTCATGGTGTATTCATTCTTGAGATTACACTTGGAAAAGTGTATTGTCATGGGAGTTTGATAGACTTATTGGTGTCATAGAAAAAATTATTATTAATTCAAGTTTTTTAGTTAATTTATTATATTGTAAAACTTCTTATATTGTAAAACAAATAGATTGCTTTTTAAATAAAGCAATACACCTGTTTGTTCCTTAAAAAAAAATAAAACCATTAAAATAATATTAATTTAAACAATTTAATTATTTTTTAAAACATTTTTTCCTCAGCGTGCTCCTCGCAAAGCGTTTTATTTTTGAGCCAAATATTGGCAAACAAAGCGGCCATTGCAATGGCGCTACATGCGTTTCCGCTTCCGCCCAAAAGTTTCACAAAAACCCATATATTCATACATTTGTGCCGAAACTTTTGTTCAACTTGCATTGTGTTGTGGCACGATTCCGCGCGCACTCTTTATTTATTTTCTTAGTGCCCCAGCCATTTGTTATTGTTGCAACAATTTTGCATTTTGCGGAAAAAGTTTAAGTTTCAATTGCAGCGAACGTGCCCAAGAGTTGCTGACAGCCACTGCTCTGTTGCAACTGAAACTGAAGCCATTCTAGCCATAACATGTGTAAACATATTCAGTCCCTGCTCCCTTTACCACTTCTCCCACCGTCCCTTATGCAGGATCCGGCAGGCAACGTCCCAGCATCCGGCATCTCCCCGGAGGAGCCCGGCATTCCCGTGCATTTCCATATGTATGTCAGTAGTGGATTTCGCTTTGGTTGCGCTTTCTGTTTGCCTGCCATGGTTTTTTTCCTCTTTGTCTGACTTGGCGGTTGGCGGCCAATCATTCCTAAACTGGCAAAAAATTGCCATCATATTTTGTCTCAAGATTTCTCCTACTAGTAGGCGGCTCCTTCTCAACTCTTTTTCTTTAAGTAATTTATTTATAACTTTTTTTTCTTTTAATTAGGAATGGATAAAACTTGTACTTAAAAATATTTGATGATTATTTAAAATATTTCTTGAAACTAATTTAATTTTTTTGAAAGTAAGATAGGCACACTTAATAGGTTAAAATTAAATTTTCACACTATTCTTAATGAACTCTATATAATTCCTTTAAGTGGATATATCCAGAAATCCATTTCACCATATTTATGAGTATTTTTGTTTCATTTGTTATTGTTTGATATGATGAATACTTTGTTTTCAAACAGAACATAAAGGTTGACCATTTTTGAAAACCTTAAAAAAATATGTCACATACATATGGTACGTTTTGTGTTTTCAGTAAAATGCTTGCATAACATTGATGTGGAGTCCTTGATTTAATATGTTTTGTATTTTTAAAGTAAAGACTTGTTTATAAAAACTAACCATATATAAATTAAAACCTTCTGAAACTAGGAAAATTAAATAAATTATGGAAAATGTTAGAAACTAACCCATAAACCCAACTGCAAATTACAGTGTTCTGTCTGCCGGGAGTAGCCTTTGAACCAAAGTCTTCATAGAAGTCTGCGAAGGGCTTGATGGGATTGCACCCTCATACCGCCCTCATGGTGGCCATCTTGCCACAAAGTCCTTTGGAAATTAATTATTCCAGTGCTGGTGGGAGTGCGCCACGCCATGACCATACTTTTGCCCTGCTTTTCGCTGTCATAATTCTGCCCCCGGTTGCATGCACCATCATAAAGTAACACACATATTTGCCTGTGTATTGAAACCCGCACACAAACACCCACTGGTGCACACAGCTCATCCATGCATATGTTTCGCTCGCATTTCCGTTTTCTCTGGGACACTGTGGCAACAACATCAGCTATAGAAACAGCAACAAAGGCGTTCATGATTTGTGCATTTCCGTTTTTTGGCAGCACGCACACGCGGCGTATGAGCAATATGTGAGCGGGCGGCCGAACCGGATACTTGGTCGAGAGCTGCCAAAGCCGGAGCTGAAGTTGACCATTGCAACAAAGCCAATTGATGCACATTGAACAGCTGGCCTAGTTCGGCCATGTTGCTACAATTTTAAATCGTCAATTGATTCGCAGTGGCCCTCGCACTGGTTTTTTGGCGCATTTGCCCTAACAAGCCAAAGTTCGGATCGAAAACTTTCGGTTTGCGCCGGCTAAGCCCAAAAGCTGAAGCGTTCAAAGTTTTTCAATTACCTGACCATGGCCGGTTTGGCTCCACCAGTTCCGCTCAATTGCTTCGACTCGTGTCTCCTGTCTCGGGTTTCCCGTTTCTTCTTTCCAGGATCCCTGAGTCCTGTTTCTACAACAAATTTCATGTTGCCATAGTTATGTTTGTATTGCTGCACACCAAAAAAAAATATATATCGTTTTTTAAATTATAAATGGTTTTTATTAATATTTAATGAATATTTAATTATTTATGATTTTTTCCCATTTTGTGTAGGTTTTTTTTTTAAATCTCTGTGATATGTTGAGCTGTGCCTCAGGTGGTGTGTATACTAGTCTGGCTTAAAACCCACTCTTAAAAAATAACCTTTTAATTTATATGTACATCGTACCTGTCGTCACTTTGTGACGACTTATTTCGTAGGGATTTGATCCTGTTTTCATAACAAATAGATCCGAATCGTTATAAAAAAATTATAAAACCGTTCTCAATAATTTAATTAAAAACGAAACATCTCAGTAAATTTTGAAGTATTATAAAGCATTTCTTGCCTTATATTATTAAAAGGTAAGACGTAACCATTTTTTAAATTTATGTTTATATTAAAATACACTATCCTGTTAATTAATTAATTATTTAAAAATTTGTCTTTATCGCGCTGATAATATTGTGAGTTGTATTTTGGAATGATAACTTAAATGAGTTTTAGGGAGAGTTTCCCAAGAAAGATATATTTTCCCGAGTGCTGAAAAATAATCGAGAAAGGGCAAGAAAATTATAAAAACGACTCGATGCAGAGCGTTCCAACTTTAACAAGACAACGGGAAAAACTAGGGAAAAGTAGCACAAGTTGGGAGGGGAAAAATAGGGGGAGGGAGTGTGCATTTTGATTATAAATATTGTAATATAAACTTGGGTCCCAGACTCGGGGCTGCGGCGGCTCAATTTAGTGGGCCGGACTGGCCCGGCGCTTGATTCCGTTTTCATTCGTCTAGCACGCCTTTGAAAGTTGGTAAACCTTAATTGTTTTCCAATTAGTTTTGCAGCAAAAAGTTTGAAGTTCATTTAGCCTCCGAGTGAGCGATGTTTTTGCCTTGTACCCGCTTTATCTTCCTTCCCTGGCACTATTTTGTGTTTTATGTTGGTGGCAGTCAACGTGGCGTATGATGAATTTTTAATTACGTGTGCTGCAAGCAAACCAGACAGCGCAAAAAACGAGCTCGCCGAAAAAAACATTGGTAACAACTGTTTGCCACTTGCAAATTGCAGCTACTCCCAAAAAGTAATAAAACAAAAAACCAAATGAAAAAACGTGGCAAAGCCAAACGAATCGCTTTTCCGGACTTTTATTTTGGGGGGAGGTGGAGGTGCAACAAGGACCATCCTTCCGCTTCGGCACTCGAGAGGCGTTGCATGTCCATAAACGCCGCTTGGCCAAATGCCAAACGGCCAGGATAATTACACAGGCCGAGATCAAATGGGCGGGCCGGGGGCTTTGTTTAGTGTCCTGGTCTTGACAATGAAACTGCCAGCCATGAATTTGAATTTTCAGTGCGGATTTAAGGGTTTAACTTTCACACGATTTATGACACATGGAGAGCACGGTGTTTGGTGTGATGTTTCGGCCGCAGCTTTAAGCCTTAAATGGCCATTATATGGCTAGGTTGTTGTTTGCCAAATGACTTTGTCCTGTGGTAGCCGAAAACAATTTGACGGCTTTAAGGCCGAAACAGTGTTGGCCATTTTCGACACTTGGCCATTTTTGTTATTGCAGTCTACGCCTCTGATTGCAGTTGTAAATTCACAAAAAATGAAAAATCAAGCCATTTGTGTACTGTCAACAGAGCTGCATTGCCATCATCACCTCTGGTTTCCCCCCAGGCCACAGCTATCTCTGCCCCTCCCCCTGGAGTGCAATTGGAATTGTTGCAAGTGGAATCCCACCGAGCATTTTTGCAACATTTACGATTTCCCTTATTGCTTGCGCTTTCATTTTGGTTTCAGACACTTTTCCCATCCGTTGAAAATTTTATTTAAATATACATACATACATATATATCTTTATTTTTATATTTTTCCCCTTTTTTATATCAATATGTCTGGTTTCGAGGGCCATTCGGCTGGACAGCTGTAATGCATTGCTGCCATAACTTTCGTTTTGTTTTGGCACCACACTATTTACCAGCTGTGGTGATCCGTCCAGGGTTGTGCATTTTAATGGCTTGAAAAGGATCCATTTAATATTTAACAATTTAATAATACTTGCGGTTGAAATTTCATTTAATAATAAATGTATCCAAGTGTTATAACAAAATGATGTTTCTTAAAAATATTCCTTCAAGGTATACATAGTTTTATAATCGAATAGTTCTTTAATCTTTAACTTTTCTATACAAGTTATGCTAAAATATTTAAGTAAAAGGCACATTTTTATTAAATTTAAATACATATTAATCTAAAACATAATTATCAGTGTTACATTTAAATAAAATTATTAGTTAAATTTTATTTAAATTTTAATAATTTGACAGTACATATTCTATGTTTTATATACAATATATTTAGTTACTTTTATAACGTAGAAATTAGCCTCCTAATCCAACTCCCCTTTGCAGACGTCCAGGACCATTTTCTTGCGAAAGTAGCTCATGTTCTCTTGAGAAAAGGAGATCTCCTGATCCCGCGATATGTACTCCGCATACATGCAACAGAAAACGCCGCAATCGTCCAGATTTCTCTGTTGGGGCAGCTTTTCCGCGGGAACACTCTCAATACGGAAGCACTCAGTGTCGAAAGGTTGCTTACGCTTGTCTAGGGACTCGCTTTTCAGGTAACTCTCCAGAATATTCAGGACTGGTTGGTTGGGATTGCCCATGGAATCGTAATATTTTAAGGTCCGATCCCTAAGATGTATAATGGCTAGGCACCAATGGATGCTTCCACAGTGAACCGGCACTAGGACGATATCGTTGCTGAAGAGGTCCACTTTGCGGGTCCAGCGTTGAACCGCTGAGTAGCCATCATGCTGCAAGCGTTGCAAGAAGAAGGAATTCATGGCATATACACTAGGAATTAGGCCGGATTGCCGTTTCGAGCGATCCATCAGCAGATTCATGTAGAAGTTGATGATCTTGTCATTTAACCAGCAACCGCCCACCAGAGTAGAGATGTCGTAGCGATGAATTTGCATAGAAAACTTCTCAACAAGGACCTTAGGAAGGGAAAACCACAATACAAGAAGTACATACAATAAAGACAAAATATAAAGCACCTCATTCCTTGGACCATTTATTAATTTGTTAAATTTCTGGCAATCATGCTCCTCTAGATCGAGAATTGCCGGCCGTGTCTTCTTAAAGTTGGGTTGGAGAGATCTAATGACTATGCGTTTTGTAACGACGAATAGTTTATTCTCCATGGCCAACCGTTCTTCATGAGATTTGGCAAATTCCAGGTAGGCCAATTGGCGCCGGCGATCGATCTCCTCGCTAGATCGTGCTATTTGCTCTATGATTTTATTAACAAAATCGTTGTTGTAATACGGGGACTTCATTAATTTAAGCTCTAGGGAGTTTGTTGGCCTATTGAGTGGACTTGCACCTTGACGAAAGAGCTGATCCTCCTTCTCCTCCTCCTCCTCATCCACATCCATCATCCTTTCCTCGGGCTCCGGAGAGCTGGTGATGTCTATGACCGAGGGCTCCGGAGAGCTGGTAAGGTCTACAACTAAGGGCTCCGCCGAGCTGGTAATGGCTACTTGCCTGTTTACGGATACTTGGATTGCCCTGGGAGATATTATTATTTTACAGGATTATAAGAAATATCTTAAAGGAAGAATTTGAAATATTCACGTGTTGTTGCGACTCTAACCTTTTGCTCGCCCTCTCCAAGAGTTCAGCATAAGATTTCTGCTCGGAAGAAGCCGGAGATATGACTGGCGCTCCTCGCGGTATCGTTGAAAAAGTTTGCAATAAACTCGCACTGGTGCCAACTTGTTGTTTCTTTGCCGAGGAAGCCAGTTTCTCTGCGCGGCTTACCAAAGAACTCGGGGGAACATCTGCAGCTTTTCCGCAAGAGTTCTCAATCAGCTTCAAATATGCGTCATGCTGCGATCTCAGCTCCTCGTGCTGGAGGATGGAAATATTGGTGCCGTCTTTGTCCCGGATCTTCAGGCTGGAACGCTTTGCGCACGATCCTTCGGAGTTCTGCGAGAGAAGACGACCCCCAGCGTTGGTACGCGATGCCTCCATGGGTTTTTTTTATTTAACTTCCGACAAACTTTATTTATAATTGATAATTTGTTTGTAGAAACTTCTCCTACATTAAAGTCTCAGTCCACTTTGTTCGTCGTTTTCAGATTTTTACTTTTGGTACACCAAATAACATTGCGTCTTACAGGATTCAAGTTGCATTACTAATTTTATGACATTAATTTTTGTGTGGCTACCTTCTTACAAAACAACACTAGGAATTGTTCAACACTATTCGTTTCGAAGCTCGGCAACTCTGCAAAAGTTATTGCGCCAAAAGCGTGTAAATACAGTTGAAATAAACTGGCATATTGAGAGAATTGCTACAAAATAGTTTTTGCATTGACTTCATTTTCTGCTGTCAGATTTTTTCCGGATTTTTTCGTTTTTTTTGTTGCTGCTGGAGTTGTTGCAACTGCTGGGCGTTAAAGTTAATTTGTTTTCGTTGATGTGTCAATACGGAGCCCAGTTTTTTGCGACCACGCTGCAAATAGATTTGTCGAAATAAAACAAATTTTCAGCATTTCACGAGGGCTTATAAATTCAATATGCGTTAAGCCTGGCCCAGGAAAAAGCTCTTCCCGCCTATTGATGTGGTCATAGCGACTCGGTTAAGAGCTGGGCTGGGACAAAAGCCAAATCGGTTTAAGCCAAGGAAATCAACTTTGACTTAACAACATTAAGAGCGCAGTGCTTTAAGGGACTTTAAGTTAATTTTGAGAGCTCCAGCTTGCCCCTGCCAATGGCTGAGAAGATGATAAATTTTTATGCCGAAGAACTCTGAAGGCAAGTTTATAAGCGAACTTGGGAGGTGTGTGCTTGAAGCCCGAGGATAGGAAACTTTGAGGCAACACAGCCGCAACTTTAGCGGCGACATCTCCTCTGGGCATTGCCGCAAATTATGCGGTCGGGGATGTCTTGCCACCAAAGGGAGCTGTCTACAGACACTCGAAGAAAAGTGTGCAAAATTAAACGGAGGACATATTTTAAAAAGATGGAACCTATTTTATAAAGTTAACAATAAGTCTCTAGCTGTAATTATTGAAATACTGTTTCAGTTTCCCTAAAGTAAATTTAAAATTATTTAAGCTTATTTAATTTTCTGAGGCAAAGTAAATTAGTTATAATTAAAGTAAATTTAAAATTATTTAAGCTTATTTAATTTTCTAATTAAATAATTTTCTGAATTTTGCAGCGCTACTCCAAAACTATCGATTGTGATGTTTCATCTCTCATCTCTATTTAATCGCACTCATATCATTACCAACACCAAGGCTAAAGTAATAATAAATCAATAATTAATAATATTAATAACAAAGAAATAATAATTTGCAATATTTTTTTTTTTATTAATATTTTTAAGTAATATTGTAATTGAATAATTATGAATTAACAATAACAGTTTATATTTAAAAATATTTTTCTATATTAATAACTAAAAAATAATGTATTTTTAAAATGGCAGATATTACTTTATTTGTATCAAATAATATTTAAAAAAACAAAAAATTTAATTACATCCATTAGTTAATGAAAAGCTTATAAAATGAAAAAAAATTCGGAATCGATAATATTATTGTTTTTTTTCCAAAACAAGTCTGCTGCTTGGACGCAGGGCCCTGAAATGTAGGCAAGAAAAAAGATATCTTGGCGAAAATAGAAATATGTTGAACTTAAAGTACTAACTAAATTTGAAAAACGATTGAAACCTTTGATTAGAAGGGTCTGGGATATAACATATATATTATTTTTGCGAGTGAAGATGTCTTGAAGGCGAAATATCTGTAGACAGCAAGTGGCAACTGGCAGCACCTGCTGCTGTCAGATCGAATGGGATGCCTCAGTACTCATCCCGCGGCCATACCCCTTCCCCTTCGATCCCCACGGGACTCCCTAACATCCCCCTGAAACCAACCCAATGGAACCCCACCGCAGCCCCGCAACTCCACATTCTTCAAAAGCCAAGAGTGAGCGATGGCTCTTTGAACAGTGTCGGCTGTCATATTACACGCTGAGCGTAATTTGTACAGAGCAGTAGCAGGAACCGGCACAGGAGCAGCGGCAGAAGTGCTCGTGCCGTGTAATTTATGCATCCATCAATCGCATGAGTGGCGCTAATTGATATTACTCGGCATTCCCGACCAGGCAGAGTAGAAATTTAGCATTTGGCTTTCGCGAGGGGGGTATTGTTTGCGGACAGCATTAAATTCGGTGGCCACTTATTTGGCCAACAAATTGCAATTATGCACAAAAATGTTTTTCAAACGGGATTTCATCTTATTTGGCTCTCTTGGCCTTACGTCGCTTTCCCAATTAATACTCTCTGCCGGGCTTGTGCGCTTCCATTAACAAATATTTGCACTCGGCTGCAGTATTGATTTTTTTCCCAACTCGCATGTATTGTGCAGCTTGGCTTTGCATGCCTCGCTGGTGTCAGAGTTCAAATTATGAGTTCATCGCAAGTCGCGGGCACAAAGAAACACTTGCCAACAAAGCTCGGAATACACTCAACGGCAGACAACAACAACAGCGTCAAAAGCAACATCAACAGCGACAGAAACAACAACTGAAACAACTACAACAACGACGACTGGAGTGTCATTGTCTGAATATGAGTTTGATGTGTGGGTGAGTGTGTGGGGCTGGGAGTTGGTGTGGGTGGGTGGGTGTTGCTGCTAGGGGGGGTATCATTTTTGCCAGCCCCGACAAAAGCCTGTCAGTGGTGCCACAATGCCAGCGCTTAAAACAAACTAGTACTCACCATTAAATCTGACAAAAGTCACGACATTTGACAAACCATGCTTTCGCTCTGCACATTTTAGTTCAAGTAACGAGTGGGAAACACTTGAAGTTAGTAATTAGCATATCATATGAGTGAAGATTTACAATGACATTAAAATAACAGCACAACATAATGAACAGGCAATAACTGACTTTCAGATAATATGGTGTGATTTTTATTTGGATATAGTTCCAACCTTTCATTAAAGTAACAAGAATATTTCCCAATAATGGGCTTTGTTTGTAGATATAATTATTCCATCACTATGATTATGTTTTCAAAAGCCACCTAATTTAATTTAAAGCTTTTTATCCATAGATTAATTGAAACTTAAATTTTCAAAAAAATAAAAAAAGCATGTTAGGCGAGTCTGTGACTTGAAAGTCATCACTGCCGGCACTCCCCGGGGATTAACCTGGACTTATTCACACATAAGGGGTTCAGCCAGTGGACCCCGAGGGCCTGGACTTGGGGGCCGGCTAGTTGACCATAAACTAGCTTTGGCTGCCAACCCCGTGGACCTTGTGACCTCGGCCCCTCCCGGAGTCGACTTCGTCCCTCTTTGTGTCCTCTGTCTGACTTCCTCTGTCAAACGTGAGAGGATGGAATGGAAATGGGATGAATTGTAGGGGAGCTTGGGGCGAGGTATTTGCTTTTGTCATTTCACCTGCAGATGCATCTCTGCCGTGTTGTCTGTTGCCGGCTGATGTCGTTCAACAACGGCATGGGGCAGGCACAGGAGCAGGGTTAGGTGCGACGTGCTACGTTGCACGTTGAAAGCCGGGCTTAGCCCCAAACTGAATTGAGCTGAGCTGTTTGGCCGTGTTAATGACAGCGGAAGTGCACTTTATTTAATTAATATGTTATAATTATAAAGAGCTTATGTATGTCTGCTCATGTGTGAGGAGGGTGTGGGGCTGAAATTCCTTCTGGTCAAGGCATCGGATTAATGAGTAGAAAGGTCGGTGATTAAAGTTGTGCAAAGTCAATAGATAATATTTGAATAGGCTTTTAGGGATTAGCCCCATATTTGTCTCAAATTTTTAAAGTATTTAAAAAAATAAATAATTGTTTGGTTATGCACAACTATTGACGGAACGGATTTAAAAGTTTTATTTTAAGAGTTAAATATTTCGGTTGGCAACTAGAATTATAATTTAAAAAATCATAAGATCCGAAAAAGATATTTGCTTATTATTTGATTAGATACTATACATTTATTATAAGATTTAATTTTTCACTATTTCCTCTTCCTAGTTTTTAAAAGAAAACATTATTCATACCTCATTTTTAAACTTTATTCCCTAAAACGTGTATAGTAGAACGTCCTTGCAAGGTCTAATTTAATCATTTGTTTCTCTATGGTATTTGCAATTGTCGGTTTTTTTGGTGGTTATAATATTCACTTCATATAATTATTCAATTTTTATAAAAATCTAAAAATAAATGTCTTAAAAAAATCTAAGTCTCATCGGTTAATCAAAGATTAAAGTTTAAGTTTAAGTATAAGTAAAAGTACAAACTCAAATGTTTCAGATCGATTAGCTTTTGTAAAACTGCTATATAATTAAACTTCTGTAATAACCATCAATGATTTTGACATTTGCTTCATTCAGCATATACATGTGTAAGCATGTGTATGTACATATAATTCTATAAAAAATAGAAAAAAGAAAACTATTTTGTCGGTTTGATGGTGCCATGATCGAGCGCATCTTATAATGCATGGTCACGCGTTAAGTATTATGAATTGACTTCAGTAAAATTGTATAATTTCATGCAGAAAGATGACTAGGGTTCACTCTGTAATTAACGAAAATGCATTTGACATGCATTTGCAGAGTAAAGTTCCTTAAAAAAAATTAAATGCCAAGGAATAAAATATTCACGCCAATATTCTAATTGGCATTAAAAATGAATGCGTAGTAATTGTTTCAAGTAGTTTCCACCCCACCCTCAAAAGCTCTCAATTTCCAGTCTTGAAGAGCGGAAGACCCCTCGAATTAAACTAAACTTTATTGGCGCTAAAAATTGATTATGAATTTTATAGTTGCCCCGAATGCCTCGAGTGATTGAAGTCTTGACGGGTCCCCCGTCAATTGGCCTAATTGGCAAGTTTTTGTGAGATTGCCTCTACGGAGCAGGGCTTTTCGGAGTCTGGAGTCCGGACCCGGAGTTGTTTAGCTTTTGTGTGTGGGAATAATGAAATTAATTAGAT